CGCGACGCGGTCCTCGCGGCCCTTCGCGGTGACCGAGGTGCGCGTCTGGTCCTCCATGGAGGGCCAAGGCGACACCCCACTGGCCGTCCTGGATCCACTGCAAACGCTCCTGGAGGCGTTCTCGCCGCGTCGTCGGGGTCGGGGTCGCGCTCTCGCTGAAGAGCAGCCCGTCCAGAGCCAGGAACACCTTCCACAAACGCGGCAGCGTGCGCGACGCCAGGCCGTCACCGCCCTGGCGGGCCTGCTCGATCGCCAGGCGCAGCCGTACCTTCACGTGGCTAACCGCGGCGGACATGCCGCGGCCCCACCCGATGGTGCCCCACCAATCCAGGTTGACAAACTGAATCTCATGGCACGCATCTTCGTCAGACACCTGGTCGCCCAGGTAGTCATCGTAGACGCCTGCTTCGAGCCCACCGCCGTCGTCCGCAGCCGCAGGGGCGTCAAGGGACGGCTGTAGGATGTTCGCGGGAGACGGCGCCTCCGCTTCGGCTGCCACCGGGGGAGCCCCACGGGAGCCTGGACCACGCGCTCCTGGCGCGGCGGCGGCAGGGGGCCTTGGGGCGACCCCAGCGCCCCCTGCCGCGCCGTCTCCCTGAGAGGGGGGAGTGGGCACCTGGCCTTCGACCGTCTCCAGCAGGGGCAAGATGGGGCCGCCTCGGGCCTCCAGAGCAGCTGTGAGGCGTCCCCTGTCGCCCTCGGGGAGCTGCGTGTAGCCCTCCATCGCCGTCGCTGGTGGCAAGGGCCATCCACGCAGGTCATGTGGAACCACTTCTTGCCCGCGTGCGCCTGGGAGCCCACGGGGCGCGTCACGACGCCTGCCACACGCCACTCGCCCGCCTCGAGGCCTCCCATGCAGCGGGTGCAATGGGCTTGCTTGCCGCAGGTCGCCTGGGCGCTGACGCACCAGCGAGTGATACGTCCTCCCGTCATGCGGCGCCGTCGCTGCGCCGGCTGACCTTCACTGTCCCGCATGTGGACGTCGGTGCCGCCGTCCACTGGGACTTCTGGAACGCTTGCATCGGCCGATGCGAGTGCGGCAGCGGAGGCGCACGGGGCGGCCACGGCACCTCCGCTGCCCGATACGGCTGCTAGCGCACCGCCTTCACCTCGGGCCGCCGCGTCGTTACTCCCAGCCACTCGAGCCCCTGCGCCTGCGTCCGCGGCGCCGCCAGCGGCCGCCGCCATCCCCGGACCTCCCTTCAGGGCAAAGAAGAGTGTGCGTAATTAACGGTAAGGGCACGAGAAAAGGAAGGGTGGCTGTCACCCGCGGTTTTTAAGGGCAGCAGTAGCCCCCCCGCCCAAGGCTCCCCAGAGCCTGGGGGGGACTACTACTACTACTACTACTACTACTACTACTACTACTACTACTACTACTACTACTACTACTACTACTACTACTACTACTACTACTACTACTACTACTACTACTACTACTACTACTACTACTACTACTACTACTACTACTACTACTACTACTACTACTACTACTACTACTACTACTACTACTACTACTACTACTACTACTACTACTACTACTACTACTACTACTACTACTACTACTACTACTACTACTACTACTACTACTACTACTACTACTACTACTACTACTACTACTACTACTACTACTACGACTACGACTACGACTACGACTACTACGACTACGACTACGACTACGACTACGACTACGACTACGACTACGACTACTACTACTACTACTACTACTACTACTACTACTACTACTACTACTACTACTACTACTACTACTACTACTACTACTACTACTACGATGAATTCGCCGGCCCGCCGGGCCAGAGGCGTGCTAAGATCTCGGCAACTGGTTAACAAAATCCGCCGACCCTGTCGGCGTGTGTGAGGGGCTTTTCCGTTCGAGCCGTCATCTCCGTCATTCTTTGTACTCGTCGTCTCTGTCCTTCCCTTTCCCTGGGACTCCTCTTCCCCTGGGCTCCAGCCAAGCCGACCTTGAGCAACCTCGTAATTGAGTCGAAGGGAAGCCCCTTCCCTTTGATCCCTCCCCCGCCGGGAGGGGGGGGGGGGTAGCGACCCCCCCCCGGGTCAGATACGACGCCCCCCCCTGGGACTCCTCTTCCCCTGGGCTCCAGCCAAGCCGACCTTGAGCAACCTCGTAATTGAGTCGAAGGGAAGCCCCTTCCCTTTGATCCCTCCCCCGCCGGGAGGGGGGGGGGGTAGCGACCCCCCCCCCGGGTCAGATACGACGCCCCCCCTGGGACTCCTCTTCCCCTGGGCTCCAGCCAAGCCGACCTTGAGCAACCTCGTAATTGAGTCGAAGGGAAGCCCCTTCCCTTTGATCCCTCCCCCGCCGGGGGGGGGGGGTAGCGACCCCCCCCCCGGGTCAGATACGACGCCCCCCCCTGGGACTCCTCTTCCCCTGGGCTCCAGCCAAGCCGACCTTGAGCAACCTCGTAATTGAGTCGAAGGGAAGCCCCTTCCCTTTTCCTCCCCCGCCGGGAGGGGGGGGGGGGAGCGACCCCCCCCCCGGGTCAGATACGACGCCCCCCCCTGGGACTCCTCTTCCCCTGGGCTCCAGCCAAGCCGACCTTGAGCAACCTCGTAATTGAGTCGAAGGGAAGCCCCTTCCCTTTGATCCCTCCCCCGCCGGGAGGGGGGGGGGTAGCGACCCCCCCCCCGGGTCAGATACGACGCCCCCCCCTGGGACTCCTCTTCCCCTGGGCTCCAGCCAAGCCGACCTTGAGCAACCTCGTAATTGAGTCGAAGGGAAGCCCCTTCCCTTTCATTCCTCCCCCGCCGGGAGGGGGGGGGGGGTAGCGGGGGGGGGTAGCGACCCCCCCTCCGAGTCAGATACGACGCCCCCCCCCCGTACCGACCTTGAGCAACGTCGTCATTGAGTCGAAGGGAAGCCCCTTCCCTTTCCCTTCCCCGACGGGGGGGGGAGAGGAGGTCCCGGGGGGGGTCCCGGGGGAGTCCCGGGGAAGTCCCGGGTCAGATACGACACCTCCCTCCCCCACCTTCTCGTCCTTCTCCCCGTTCCCCCAAACCATCCCACAGCCCGTGCCTCTTGCTGCGCATTGCGAACAGGGTCGGCGGCACCGGCCGTCAGGCCTTCGCAATATTGTAGTTCGCGCGCGCGGGGCGGCTTCTGGGGGCTCTCGCACGAAAAATACCCCGAGCAGGTCCCGGCCAGTTCGTGGTTTTCCTCCTCGGTGCTGCCTTCCAGGCCTCCAAGAGCGCTCCAGGAACGCGCCAAGAAGGCTCCGAGACGCTCCCGAGACGGTCCAAGGGGCCCCGAGTCGCCGGAAGATTGCTCCAAGACGCACATGCTGGTCTCCAGACGGCCCTAGACGCAGCCGAGAAATAGACGACGTTCGGAGGTTCACAGCGTCCAAGACTGCCCAAGAGCCCCCCAAGATCGCCCCAAGATAGCCCAACATGCACCCAAGATGCGCCCAGAGGGCCCAAGAGGGCTCCAAGACGACCCAAGAGGGCTGCCTTCCAGGCCCCCCAGAGCGCTCCAGGAACGCGCCAAGAAGGCTCCGAGACGCCCCCGAGTCGGCCCAAGGAGCCCCGAGTCGCCGAAAGATTGCCCCAAGACGCCCATGCTAGTCTCCAGACGGCCCTAGACGCCGCCGAGAAGCTCCAAGAGAGCCTTCGTCCAAGAGGGCCTCAACAAGCAAAAATCGTCCCATTTCCTTTGGAGAACGTACATTGCTGGCATAGACGACGTTCGGATATTCACAGCGTCCAAGACTGCCCAAGAGCCCCCCAAGATCGCCCCAAGATGGCCCAACATGCACCCAAGATGCGCCCAAGAGGGCCCAAGAGGGCTCCAAGACGGCTGCATTAGGCCTCCCCGAGCGCTCAAGAAACGCGCCAGGAAGGCTCGGAGACGCCCCCGAGACGGCCCAAGGGGCCCCGAGTCGCCGAAAGACTGCTCTAAGACGCCCATGCTGGTCTCCAGACGGCTCTAGACGCAGCCGAGAAACCCCAAGAGAGTCTCAAGAGACCCTCCACGAGGGCCACAACAAGCAAACATCGTCCCATCTCCTTTGGGAAAACGTGCATTTCTGGCATAGACGACGTTCGGAGGTTCACAGCGTCCAAGACTGCCCAAGAGCCCCCCCAAGATCGCCCCAAGATGGCCCAACATGCCCCCAAGATGCGCCGAAGAGGGCCCAAAAGGGCTCCAAGACGGCCTTCTTGGGCTGCCTTCCGGGCCCACCAGAGCGCTCCAGGAACGCGCCAAGCAAGCTCCGAGGCGCCCCCGAAACGGTCCAAGGAGCCCCGAGTCGCCGAAAAATTGCCCCAAGACGCCCGTGCTGGTCTCCAGACGGCCCTAGACGCCTCCGAGAAGCCCCAAGAGAGCCTCAAGAGGCCCTCCACGAGGGCCCCAACAAGCAAACATCGTATCATTTCCTTGCGAAAACGTGCATTTCTGGCATAGACGACGTTCGGATATTCACAGCGTCCAAGACTGCCCAAGAGCCCCCCCAAGATCGCCCCAAGATGGCTGAACATGCCCCCCAAGATGCGCCCAAAAAGGCCCAAGAGGGCTCAAGACGGCCCAAGAGGGCTGCCTTCCGGGCCTCCCAAAGCACTCCAGGAACGCGCCAAAAAGGCCCCGAGGCGCCCCCGAAACGGTCCAAGGAGCCCCGAGTCGCCGAACAATTGCCCCAAGACGGCCCGCCACCCTCGGACCCGAGGGTTCCATCATCGCATCAAATGCCCCCTGCGCCCCATCGTCCCAGAACCCCAGAATGAGCATCCACGACCAGCAAGCCCCCACGAAGGCACCCGAAGTCCAACAAAGCACCACACAACTGCCCGCCTTGTGAAAAGCGACCGATTTCCTGGACAACTCCCGAGAAATCCAGACGAATCGCCCCAGCACCATGCCCCACGCAACGCCTCAGAAAACAGCCGACGGCGCGGCGCGGGCGCCGCGCGTGGAGGTACTCCGCGGGCCTTCGGCCCCCCTGGGGAGCGAGAGAGAGAGGGAAAAGGAGGGAGGAGGGCGGAGGAAGGAGGAAGGAGCGAGGGACCAGGGGCTTCCAGGATCCAGGGACTCGGGGAGGCCCCCTCGCAGTCCGAAGGGGCACCCTGCATTGAAAATAACAAGAGCTAGCTACGTATCCCGTGATCAGCAAGCATATCACAGTCTCTACTCATCCCACCTGAAGCCCCTGGAAGGCTCGACAGCGCCTGTGTGGTTCCTGTTCCGCGGCCTGTCGAACTCGCCGGCGTACCAGCCGTCGAAGTCGCACATGGGTTGCCCTGCGGTCAGGCCCGGGTCGACCCCGTGCATCTGCTCGAACTTCGCGAGAACCTGCCTCAGCCTGTCCTTGCACTTCTCTGGGTCGTTCCTGCCGTCCCAGAAGCTGACGCCGATGCCCCTGTCCGTGTCCCAGTCGTACTCCCGCGTCACCGAAATGTTCTTGAACCACTCGCCGAAGCTAGGCAGGGTGCCTGCCAGGTCGTCTATCATGACCTCTCCTGACTGGGGACACCGACCACCGACAACGGCGATCGACGACGACTGACGACCGGCTACCGACGACCGACGACCGACGACGACGACGACGACGACGACGACGACGGCGACGACGACGACGGCGGCGGCGGCGGCGACGACGACGACGACAACGACGACCGACGACGACGACCGACGACGACCGACGACGACGACGACGACGGCCGCGCACTCCTGAGGGGCAATGGTACGGGAGGGGGAGTGATGCCGTGGTCGGTGTCCCAACCCTGGAAAGCTTGGGCGGAGCATCGGAAAGCCAAAAACGAAAAGGAAAAGTCCCAAACCTGGAGAGGGAACAGCCCGACTCTGGAAAGGGCGCGCGTAGCCAAACCCTGGGAAAGGAAAAGCCAGAGCCTGGAAACCCTCCCGAGCCTGGGAAAGCACGGCGGATGGAGGAGGAGGAGGAGAAGGAGGAGGAGGAGGAGGAAAAAGGAGAAGGAGGAGGAGGAGGAGGAGGAAAAGGAGGAGTACAGGACGAGGAGGTCCGTGCCCGGCACGGCGGATGACCCCAAGCTCGGCGCGCCTCGCCGGCGCCGAGCGGCGGGCGCCCCGAGCATTGGAAAGCGCGGCAGGAGCAGGAGGAGGAGAAGGATGGAGGAGGAGGAGGAGGAGGAGGAGGAGGAGGAGGAGAAAGGATGGAGCAGGAGGATGGAGAAGGATGGAGAAGGATGGAGAAGGATGGAGAAGGATGGAGAAGGAAGGAAGGGAGGATGGAGAAGGATGGAGAAGGAGGATGGAGCAGGAGGAGGAGAAGGATGGAGGAGGAGGAGGAGGAGAAGGAGGAGGAGAAGGAGGAGGAGAAGGAGCACGAGAAAGAGGAGGCCCGTTGCCCAGCGTGGCAAATGACGCCAAGCACATCGATGTCTGCCGATTGCTCGATCGGCTCCGAACGAACCCAAACTCACAGTATGAAATTGGGCACCGTGTGCACGCTATCTCTTGGCAGACATCGCCCGACCTGGAACTGTGATTTCTGTCGGTTGCTGGATGATTCCGAGCAGACCAACACTTACCAAATGAGGTGGGGCCACCTGTGCACGCCATCTGTTTGCAGACAGCGACCGACATAGAACGGTGATTTCTACCAGTTATCTCGTAGCCTCCGAGCAAGTCCAAAATCACCCAAAGAGATCGAACCACATGTGCGCCATCTGTTCGTAGACAACCACCGACCTAGAACAGTGCTTTCTGCCAGTTGCACGGTAGACTCAGACCAGGCCCAAAATCACCAAATGAGGGCGAAGCGAATAACGGTTTGAGTGAGAGAGAGGGGTGGGGGGGAAACAAAAAGAGAACGCAAGAGCGAGGGAGAGAGACAAAGAGAGGGTGAGGGTGAGGGTGAGAGAGAGAGAGTGAGAAAGACAGATACGGGATAATGGAAGACACAGAGAGAGACTGAGAGAGAAAGAGAGAAGCGAGATAGAGAGAGAGATAACAATGTATATATATTATATATACATAATGAAAAAGGGAGAGAGGGAGAAACAAACAGAGAAACCGATAATAAGGAGAAAGCGTGGGAGCGAGAGAGAGAGAGAGACAGAGCTACATATATATATATATGTATATATATATGTATATATGTATACATGAAGGAGCGAAAACAACACACCTATAGCAACAGAGATACATCAGCATACCAAGCCAGATTGGACAATGGGCATGCAATGCGTATGGATGTATTCACGTATCGGGAGAGATGTATCGAGAACAAAAGAAAGACAACTACCACGAGACGCGCACACACCTACCACATACACGCACAAATACGCAGACGCACCCGAAACAGACAGAGACGCAGGCAAGCAAAAGGGAGACTAGACAGACAAGCAGGCAGAGCGAAACCGGAGAGGGGGGGATAGAGAGTGAGGGAAAGAGAGAGAGAGAGAGGGAGAACAAACAAAGAGGGAAACATAAAAACAAAGAGAGAGACCCTAATTTGGCGATTCCCCCCACGCGTTCTCACCGCCACACAACGCCGACACAATCACCAACCTAGGGCGGAGCGGTCGGAAAACCTGACCCGCGGGCCGCGAAGAAAACACACACACACACGCACACATATGCTGACGCACGCGAAGCAGACAGGCAGGCAGGCAGGCAAAAGGGAGATAGGCAGACTAGACTGACAGACAAGCAAAACGAAAACGGAGACAGGGGGAACAGAGAGAGAGAGAGAGAGAGAAACCAAAAAAGGACACGGACACATAGAAAAAAAAGAGAGACCTGAATTTGGTGATTTCCTAACGCGCCCCTCCCGCCACACAAAGCCGATGAGATCACCAAGCCAGGGCGGAGCGGTCGGGAAACCTAGTCCGCGGGGCCCTGGCGGCAACGTAGAAAACGACCACGAAACGCACACGCACACACACGCACATACGCTGACGCACCCGACAGACAGACAGGCAGGCAAGCAAAAGGGAAACAGGCAGACTAGCCTGACAAACAGGCCAAGCGAAAACGGAGAGGGAGAACACGATAGAGAGAGAGGGAGGGAGAGAGAGAGAGTGAGAGAGAGGGGAAAAAACAAAAAACATGAGGGAGGGAAACACAGAAACACAATGGGAGAGACCCTCATTTGGTGATTTTCCCACGCCCCTCCCCCCCCCGCCACACAAAGCCGACGAAATCACCAAACCAGGGCGGAACGCTCGGAAAACCTGGCCCGCGGGGCCCTGACGGCCGCGTGGAAAACGACCATGGGACTCACACGCGCACACACACACAGACACAGACACAGACACAGACACAGACACAGACACACACACACACACGAACTCATATGCTGACGCACCCGACACAGACAGACAGACAGGCAGGCAAAAGGTAGACATGAAGACTTGACAACCAGACACGCAAAGCGATACCGGGGAGAGGGAGGGGAGAGAGAGAGAGAGAGAGAGAGAGAGACAGAGAGAAAGAGGGGAAGAAAACAGAGAGAGAGAGAGAGGGAGAGGGAAAGAGGGAGGGGGGAAAGAAAAAGGAGAGAGAACAAAAAGAAGGGAGAGACCCTAATTTGGTGCTTTCCCCACGCGCCCCCACCGCCACACAAAACCGACGCAATCACCAAACTAGGGCGGAGCGGTCGGGAAACCTGACCCGCGAGGGCCCCAGCGGCATCTACCATGAGACGCATGCGCACACGCACACACACACACATACGCTGAGGCACCCAACGCAAACAGACAGGCAGGCAGGCAAAAGGGAGACAGGCAGACTAGACTGACAGACAGGCGACGCGAAAACGGACAAGGGGGGAAAGAGAGAGAGTGAGAGAGAAAGAGACAGAGGCAGAGAGAGAGAGAGAGAGAGAAATCGGGAGATAACAAAACAACGGAACACATGAACGAAGGACATGGAACAATAGCAACAAATGGAGAGACCTAATTTGGTGACTTCCCATGCGCCCCCACATGCCACACAAAGCCGGCGAACTCACCAAACTGAGGCTGAGCGGTCGGAAGACCTGGCCCGCGGAGGCTTGGCGGCCGCGTAGGAAACGACCAAGCGACGCACACGCACACACACACGCACACACACACACATGCTGATGCACCAGAGACAGGCAGACAGGCAGGCAGGCAAAAGGGAGACAGGCTGACTAGATTGACAGACAGGCAAGGCGAAAGCGTAAAGAGGGTCACCCAATAATCACTGCAAGCTCCAGGCCCCGAAGGAACTAGGGACCGAAGTGCAGGGATGAAAGAAGCAGCGAAAAAGTCCCCGCAAAGGCCCCGGAAACGGCCACCGCCCGACAAGGACCGCCCTACCACGCAGCCCAACGAATTCCAGACGACAGCCATGGGTCCGCAGTGAGGGCGGCCAAAGTCGGCCTCAAAAGCGGGACGGCACAACGGCACCGCATGGCGCCAGAAGGCCAGCGCTCCGAGCCGACAGGCGGCGCATTGCGGGCGCAAGCGGCCCAACTGAGGAGTCCAGCACACGGGGCCCTGCAAAAAAAAAAACGCGAGAGGGGGGGAGAGAGAGAAAGAAAGAGAGAAAGAGAGATATACAGAAATAGAAGAGAAATATATACAGAGAGAGAGAGAGAAACAAAAAAAGAGGGATCAACAAACACAAAGGGAGAGACCCTAATTTATTGATTTCCCCACGCGCCACCCCCGTCACACAAAGCCGGCGGAATCACCAAACTAAGGCGGAACAGTAGGAACACCTGGCCCGCGAGGGCCCTAACGGCCGCGTAGAAAACGGCCATGGATACCCGCGCGCACGCACGCACGCACGCACGCACGCACGCACGCACACGAACACGCACACGAACACGCACATGCACACGCACACGCACACGCACACGCACACACACACACACACACACACACACGCACACACACGCACACACACACACACACACACACACACGCACGCACGAAGGCACGCACGCACACACACACAAGCAAACAAACAAACAAACAAACAAACAAACAACCAAACAAACAAACAAACAAACAAACAAACACATAAACACGCGCACGCAGGCACGCACGCACGCGCACGCGCACACACAAACAAACATGCGCACACACGCACGCACGCACGCGCACGCGCGCGCACGCGCACGCACACGCACACGCGCCCGCGCACGCGCATGCATACGCACACGCACGCGCACCCGCACCCGCACCCGCATACGCACACGCACACGCGCTTACACACGCACACGCACACGCACACGCACACGCACGCTCACGCGAACACGCACACGAACACGCACACGCACACGCACACTCACACCCACACCCATCCCACACCCATCCCACACACAAAAATTTGTGTCGGCGGTTGGGCAGAGGGTGACTGCTCCGTCGATCGGGCAGCAGGAGGGCGCACTCGATACAAATTGGGCCGCGGTGAACGACACACACAGACACACACACAGAGATACAGACACAAACACACACACACACAAACACACACGCACACACACACACACACACACACACGCACA